TCAGGTTCTATTTCATTCTGGGATCTGGCTTGTCTAGTAGTACCATCAGCTGGGATCATAACAATAGTTGCTATACTGTGAATGCCATTTTATGATAGGAGTAGAACACACAGATTGTTCTATTTGGGTCCTAAATTTAAATGTATTCCTAGCATGAAGGAGGAAATAAAATAGTGAATTAAGTTCATCAAAAGTTATGGAAAATATTGTGGTTATGTTGCAATGAACGTACAGTAAGAGGAGACATGCCAATGGAATTATGAAATATAGACTATTCCATTTAACGTGTTTGTACTATCTTTCTCAAAAATTCATGTTTAAAGGGGCTCAAGCAGTTTGCATTTCCTAGACACTCACTCAAGAGAGTGTGAAGGAGTGAGATATCACTCTACCCTGACATTGTTCCATGTTAAATTAGAGGGACAGGATCAGTTACATAGAGTTGCTGGGGGAAGAGTGAAAATGCACTATTTACTGTTTCTTGAGTCATGGGTTCATGAAGGGTAGGTCATGTTTACCTAATTTAACTAATTTGGTGGAATTCTTTGAGGACATTACTTGCATGGTAGACTATGGGGAACCTGTGGATGTAGTGTATCTGGATTTCCAGAAGGCATTTGACAAGGTGCCACACCAAAGGCTGCTACATAAGATAAAGTTGCAAGATATTACAGGTAACGTATTGGCATGGATAGAGGATTGGTTGACTAGTAGAAAGCAAAGAGTAGGGGTAAATGGGTGTTTATCTGATTGGTGGTCAGTGGCTAGTGGTGTGCCTGGTGTTGGGACCGCAATTGTTTACAATTTACATAGATGATTTGCAGTTGGGGACTAAGTGTGGTGTGTCAAAATTTGCAGATGACACTAAGGTGAGTGGTAGAGCAAAGTGTGCAGAAGACACTGAAAGTCTGCAGAAGGATATAGATAGTCTAAGTGAGTGGGCAAAGGTCTGGCAGATGGAGTAAAATGTTGATAAGTGTGAGGTCATCCATTTTGGTAGAAATAACAGCAAAATGGACTTTGTTTTAAATGGTAAAAAATTGCAGCACGCTGCTGTGCAGAGAGACTTGAGTGTCCTTGTGCATGAATCGCTAAAAGTAGGATTGCAGGTGCAGCAGGTGATTAAAAAGGCAAATGGAATTTTGTCTGCCATTGCTAGAGGGATGGAGTTTAAAAACAGTGAGGCTATGCTGCAGCTGTATAGGGTCCTGGTGAGGCCACACCTGGAGTATTGTGTGCAGTTTTGGTCTCCTTACTTGAGAAGAGATATACTAGCACTGGAGGGGGTGCAGAGGAGATTCACTCAGTTGATTCCAGAGTTGAGAGGGTTGGATTATGAGGAGAGACTGAGTAGACTGGGATTATACTCATTGGAATTCAGAAGAATGAGGAGAGATCTTATAGAAACATATAAGATTATGAAGGGAATAGATAAGGTGGAGGCAGGGAGGTTGTTTCCGCTAGCAGGTGAAACTAGGACTAGGGGGCATAGCCTCAAAATAATGGGAAGCAGATGTAGGACTGAGGTCAGGAGGAATTTCTTCACCCAAAGGGTTGTGAATCTGTGGAATTCCCTGCCCAGTGAAGCGGTTGAAGCTATCTCGCTGAATGTGTTTAAGGCAAGGCTAGATAAATTTTTGAACAGTAAAGGAATTAAGGATTATGATGAGTGGGCAGGTAAGTGGAGCTGAGTCTCAAAAATATCAGCCATGATCTTATTAAATGGCAGGGCAGGCTCGAGGGGCCAGATGGCCTACTCCTGCTCCTAGTTCTTATGTTCTAGGTGATGGCCTAATGGTATTATGAAGAGATTTTTAACCCAGAGACACAGGTAATGTTTTTGGGGACCGGGGTTCAAATCCCACCATGGTAGATGGGGGAATTTGAATTCAATTGAATAAAAATAAGAGTTTAATAATGACTGTGAAACTGTTTACAATTGTCATGTACAGTAAAGCCCATCTGGTTTACTAATGCCCTTTAGGGAAGAAATCACCATCCTTGTGTTGTCTGGCCTACATGTGACTTCAGACACACAGTAATGTGGTTGACTCTTAGCTGCCCTCTGGGCATTAAATGCTACTCCAACCAGTGACACCCACAGCCCATGAATGAATAAAGAGATAGTGGTCCAAAGTGTGCTCAATAATCAATGGTCACATTATTATAAACATTATCTGTCTTGTAGGAGATGCTCTGTGGTTGATTGCAATCAGAAAACCAGTGCATGGTTCACTATTATGCCTCTGGAACACAAACATACTCCATCATACAAAGGGTTTGGGGGTCAGAATTGGTAGAATTTTGGGGGATGATGCAATTCAGCCCTTTTCAGGTCAGCAGGGAGCATGGATAAAAAAATGCATCCCATCACTCTTGGACTTAAAGCATGTAGTTATCAGAGTCATTGAGATCTACTGTACAGAAAAAGGCCTTTTGTCCCATAACATCCATACTGGTCAAAAACATCACCTAACTATTCTAATCCCATTTTCTATCCATTGGTCCACAGTCTTGTATGTCTTGGCATTGCAAATGCACATCTAAGACACAAAAGATTATTTGACCAAGCTGAAATACATACATTTGTAAAATGGAAGTCTTCTAAAAGTAGTGTAGTGAGAATTCATGGCTAGCATATTTATCTTAAGAGTGAAAGGCCAGGATAGCAAATCCAGGGAACTCTTTTGACATCAGCGGGTTTCATGAGTTTGTTAAAGAAATAAAAGGAAGCGTTTGTTAGGTAGCATGGGATGTGTAGGAGGATGCTGAAAATTTAAATTAGGAGGGCAAAGAGGGGCCACAAATTATCTTTGGCAGATGGGACCAAGAAAAACACAATGCTTTTTATAAGTATATTGAGTAAAAAGATTACCAGGGAAAGAGTGGAACCTCTTAGAGACCAAAGGCGCAACCTGTGCATAGAGCCTGAGGACATGGCGAGGTATTGTAGGAATACTTTTCATCTGTGATTGTACATGCCTTTAAGAGAGATTCGTTCTGTGCCGTTTCTCTTGCAGAGAGGTGTTGCCACAGTGGTCCCAGAATGTCTGCTTCAGAAGCAGTGGGAAAACAGCTTTGAACTCTGTTTTGTTTTTAATTAGACAAAAGAAACATGAGTGGGTGGAGTCAGGCCCATACAGGTTTTTAGTTTTGCTTTCAGTTAGGGTTTTTGAGTTGGCAGTTGAAGCTGATAGATACAGCTCTCTCTCTGCTGTAGCATAAATCTTGCATTCTCTCTCTGCTACTAAATTGTTTCTTTTGGTGTTCTTATCTCCTGGACTGGAGAGGAGATAGCATGTGAGCAAAATCTGTTTTGCTGAATTTGCCTTTGCCAAGGGTGTGTTTACGGAACTGCTATATTGCAACAGTTGATGATTAGTAGTTAAATTTAAAAAATTATTTTATTAAGCATTTCAATGGAGTTAAAGTTATGCCTTTTTTAAAATCTGTATTTTCACTGTGTTGTTAGAATAAAGTGTGTTTTGCTTAAAGCCTACTAGTGGACCAATTGAATCACATCTGGAACACAGCACCTTACATTGGTCTTTAATTAAAATAAAAGCTTAGGGTCTAGGCTATCTCCTTGATACATTCTGAGGGGGTTTGGTCTGATCCCCAACACATCTGTATTCACAGAGGAGAAACACATTTTTGCCAAGGATTTCACTTGGAATGGCAACATTCTAGAACATGTTAAGATTAATAAGGAGGAGGTATTAGATGTTTCAGCAGCATAAAAGGTACAAAAATCTCCAGGGCCTGAAGAGAAGAATCCCAGGCTGCTTTGAGGGGCAAGGGAGAAGAATTCTGGGGCCCTGATGGAACTATTTAATACTTTGCTGGCCACAGAAGTGCCAGATGACTGGAAGATAGTTAATGTAGTTCTTTTGTTCAAGAAGGGCAGCAGGGATAGGCTAGGTAATTACAGACCAGTTAGTCTGATGTCAGTGGGAGGGAAATTATTAGAAAAAATTCTCAGGGACAGGATTAAGCAACACTTGGATAGGCAGGGATTGATCAGGGATTGTCAGCGCGGATTTGTTAAAAGGTCATCTTGTTTGATAAATTTAATTGAGTTTATTGAAAAAGTGACTAAATATATTGATGAGGGTAGTGCAATTGATGTGATTTACATAGGTTTCAATAAGGCTTTTCACAAGGTCCCACGTGGAAGGCTGAAGGAGAGTCATTGGACCCAAAACATTAACTCTGCTTTCTCTCCACAACTGCTGCCAAACCTGCTGAGATTTTCCAGCAATTTCTGTTTTTGTTTCTGATTGCTAGCGTCCACAGTTCTTTGAGGTTTTTTTTTGTATAGTAGCAAGGAAGTCTTGTTACAACTTTATAAAACATTGATGAAGCCACAGATGGAATATTGTGTGCAATTCTGGTCACTACAGTATTGCAATGAGATGTTTGATCCGGAAAAGATGCAGAGGAGATTCACCTGGATGTTGCCTGGGATGAGAAATCTCAGTTATGAGGACAGATTGGACTGACTGAGTTTGTTTTCCTTGGAGCAGAGAAGGCTGGGACAGAGGGGATCTGACTGAGGTATCCACAATTATGAAAGGCAACAGATAACAGTTCATTGTGAGAAGTTTTTTCCCGCATGGCAGACATGTCTAAGACCAGGGGGCATATGTTTAAGGTGAGGAGTAAGTAGTTCAGAGGACATCTGAGAGAAAAAATGTTTTCACCCAGAGGATGGCTAAAATATGGAATGTGCTGCCTGAAACAGTGGTGGAGGCAGGTACTCTCACATTTAAGAATCATTTGGATGACCATTTAAAATGCCAGGGTACAAGAGACTATGAATCAAGTGGAAGTAAATGGGATTAGAGAGGTTTTGTGCATGCTGGTGGCATAGGCATGGTGGGCTGAGGGCTTGTTTCTGTACTATACGATTTGTAAAATATTCTACTACCATAAAATATTAAACCATCTAATCTTACACAAAGTCGTTGAATATTCAAAAGAAATCACACCTTAATAGATGGTTTTGATGTTTATTTTATTCATAGGAACTGAAGGTGAACAAAATGTTCTGAAACAATGCATATTGCTACAGTAATCTACACATAGCTTATCAAACTTTTTAAAATGACAATGATATGACAGCATGATGATATGAAACTTATACCAAGATGGATTATTTCAGAGTCTGAGGAGCTGTGAATGTTGCGAAACACTGTGCAACATCAGCAACAGTCCAAATTTTTGTATTTTGATTTTTTGGGGCAGTGTGAGGGGACATTGATGAAGAAGTGTGGATGGTTGAGCCTTGGACACTATCTTGAGGAACTCCTGCAACAAGGTCATGGGATTGAGATGATTGATCTCCAACAACCATAACCATCTTCCACCGTGCTAGTTTCCCAGTGCAGAGTTTTCCCTCTGAGTTCAGTCTAATTTAGGTTACTCATTGCCACACTTGGTTAAGGCAGATGCTCACCTCTTGAGTTCAAGCTCTTTTGTCCACAGTTGGATCAATGCTGTCATAAGGTCTGGAACCAAACGACTCTGGCAGAGCTCAAACATGATTGAACAGGTTACAGCTGAGGTGGTTATGCTTGACAGCATTGCTGATGACACTTTCCATCCCCTTGTTGATGACTGAGAATAAACTGATAGGACCGTAATTAACCAGATTCAATTTGGCCTGCTTCTGGAGACGAGGGTGTACCGAGGCAATTTTCTACATTACCACTGTTACAGTTCTACTAGAACCAGCTTGATCAGGGTGTAGCTAGTCCTCAAGCACACGTCTTCAGTACTATAGCCAGGCCGTTTTCAGGGCCAAAGACTTTGAGGCATCAAATGCCTTCAGGCATTCTTTTGATAGGATGTGGAGTCATTGAGTCATACAACACTGAAACAGACCCTTCAATCCAACCAGTCCATGTTGAGCGTAATCCTAAACTAAGCTAGTCCAACCTGCCTGATCCTGGCTCAAATCTCTCCAACCCTTTCCTATTCATGTATCCATTCAAATGTCTTTTAAACATTGTAATTGTACCTGCATCCACCATTTCCTCAGGAAGTTCATTCCACACCTGAACCACTCTCAGTGTAAAAAATTTGCCTCTTACATCTTTTTTAAATCTCTCTCACCTTAAAAATGTGCCCCCTAGTCTTGAAATGCCCCATCAACTCTATCTATTGGCTGAACCTGTTACGATGGGGACTCAGGAGGACACCAAGGTGCAATAGTCACTTGGTACTTCTGGTTGAAGATGTTTACAAATGCTCCAGCTTTGTCTCTCACATTGATGAAATTCAGATACCACTATCATTGAGGACAGAGATGTTGATGGAAGGCGCTGAAAAATAGATAATGTCTATATGATGAAGCTAACATCACAGAGTAACAACAATAAGTAAAGTAATCTGTACCTTTGGATGTATAGTCAGAATAAGAGCTCAAAAACTAGGATGACAATGAATTTAAAGAGTTATTAGCATGGACACATGCAGAATAGTGTACCGTTCTGGCTACCATACTACAGAAACAATATCTAGAAATTGAAAAAATACTAAACAGGAAGCAACATGATACCTATCCTAAGACATCTGACCAACGAAGAGGTTGAAGACATAGGATTGTTTATACTGTTGAAAAGAAGGTTTAGAGTAAGCTAATGGCAGGAGATTTACAGAGGATTTAGGGAAAATACTTTTTTCACTCAGAGGGTGGAAAGTATCATGAACTCACTGCTTGAAAGGGTCATAGAGGTTGGAACCATTACAACACTGAAGAAAATTTAGGTGAATACTTAAAAACCAAACAAACAGGACTGCAGGACAAGTGCTGAGAAATGGGACTACTGTAGTGCACTTGATGACCAGTGCAGCTATGATAGTCCAAAGGGCCTCTTTCATAAGAACAAATTGCTCTGTAATGCTCTACAACTCTACTCAAGCAGAACAGTTCTTAAGAGAAAAGTTTATTAAACCTTGATAATGCACTTAAGATTTTCAAGAATGATGATAGTAGGGTCAAGTTTAAAAGTGAGATGATTAAGTAGTCTTACGCGTGGTACCTCACTGAATGCATTTTGGAAATCCAAATATATTACATTTATTTGTTCCCCTTCATCGGTGCTGCTTGTTACCTCCTCAAAAACTCTAAGAAATTGATCTGGCATGATTTCCCCTTCATGAAGCCATGCTGACTCTGCTTGAACATATTATGTATTTCTAGATGCATCTAGATTACATCCTTTACAACAGACTTGAACATTTTCCCAACAATAGATGAACAGTCTCAATTCTCCACTGCCCTCCTTTGCCTGGCTGAGTGTGTTCTCACATTGCTTCACTTTCCACAGATGCTGCCAGACATGCTAAAACTGCGTTAATTTTACAAAATCATGCAAGATGTGACTGGAAACATTTAGTTTTTGGTCCAGTTGGGTTTAGAGATTTTTCTGTCCTTAGATTTCTTTTTTGTTTCTATGAAATAATCAAACAGGGATCAAGGAACCACTGAAAGTTGACAAGGACAGGGTAGGATAGAACTGACGCAGCAAAGTTTAGGTTGATATGGAGATTCAACAGATCGACCTCAGGATACCTCTGTGGGGCGTAGTGGTAAAGAAAGGCCTGAAAGTAAAGAAGGTGTGTGATGTTTAGTAATAGTAGTTATCAAGTATGGATACAGTTGAGAATATTACTGAGGTGGAAATACTTTCAATGGATTGCATGTGGGGTTTGCAGCCTGTTGCTGACTCAAACATGGTAAAAGTTTGGGTTAGTCTGTTGGAGCAGCCAAATTAGAAGATTAAATCAAGGAGGGACAAATCTGGTCTCTAGTGATATGAACAGAACCTTCAGTCTTACCACCATCACTTGCCATTAATTTTAATGAGCCTTACTATGGTGGTCCATCTTCATTTATAAAAATGGCCAGTGGGTATCATTCAGTATTATTCCTTGGAGGCTGAGTCTGTCCATGCCCAGCTTCAAAAGAAATGCACTTCCCAGCAGTCAAAGGCAAGAACCTTGGCTGACATTTCCTTTTACCAGGAAATCCTTCTAAAGCACTCCTACTGGTACTCAACTCTCCCAGATCTGGGTCACGTGTGAATCATTCTGTTACTAAGCTATGCTCAATGAAAAAGCTTGTGAACTGGTATATTGAAATAAAAGAAACTCCAGAGCTATAATTCAGGGAGATAGACAAGCCTAGGTAGCTACCCTATAGTTTTCAGTTTATTGCAGCCTAAAGTCAAAAATCAATTCCAACTCACATACAGAAAAGTGGAAGTTTCAATTTCTACTTAGCAACACCATAGTGCGGTTGCTATAGGAATAGAAAGGACATGTTATAAATTACTACTGGATTATCCCTTTAATTTTTCTTTCTATAAGCTACGAAAAGGTCAGTGAATGATCAAGATTTGAGAAAAAGGGTGTGCAGGTAAGAAACCTATGATACATTGTGCCACTGTTCAAGGAAGAAATGAATTGAATAATCTCAAAAAATTCTCAAAAAATGTAGAAAATATACATTTGATTTTTATAGAATAACTGAATCATCTGCCAGTTATTTCATATTTTAACCAGAATTATCAATAAATGTGAGTAGATAACAGCAATACTTTTTACATCTCCTTTAAAGAGTTTTGGCATTATACTTTAAATACATTACACATTTAGAGGTCTTCATCAATTTAAAGGATTCAAAATAAAAATTATGGCGCAAAATACATTTCTTGCATCATTTTATAATTAATCACCATTCAGTCATGTGGGTAGACTTGCATCAGCCATGGCATCATTATGTACTGTTCTCCATCAAACATGCTGAAATAATATACTAACAGCGGGTGGTACACCTAAAAATAACAAAATGCAAAACTGATCAGCATTCTGCTACCAAATATCGTGTGGTTAACAAATCTGAAAGCTCAGGCTAGGGAGTTGTATAGGTTTTATAGACAATCTTAATATTTCTTGGGTAGGATAGCAAAAATCTGCCATAGTGTTCACTCTCAATTATTCTCCAGTTGCACCTGTATGGGTAGGTGTTGGATGAAAGCTGATTGGGTCTCAGCTGTGATGCCATATCCAGTTGTGTGGACTAGCAGCACATTCTATCAAAACTCTTGTGATAATAATGAATTGTTGAGACAGGTACCTGTGGGAACGTATCCCAGAAAATGAGCTTGATGTTTCCAGGGAAAAGATGAAGTAAAAGATGTAATGCAGTCTATCACCACCAAGGTGATGTCCAATCCAAACGGTTTCGACAGACACCCAACCATTTCTAATGATTGTAATTACAAGGCTTGCCATTTTCCATCTTAGTTTAGTTCCATTCCCTTGTACTTTAACAAGGTCAGACACCTCCAAACTGTGTGTAAACCTGAATCACTCACTTCACAAATGTTTACATTGTTCTCTTTACTATGTAATAACAAATGAGCATTATTTTGTGCTCAAATGTTTGACCCTTGTTTTTCATTCTCCTTTACTGAGGCCTGTATTATCATCCGAGATGCATACAAGAATATATTTTTGTGAACTACCCTCAATATGGGGACATAGTCATTTAAGGCTTAAATGACAATTGTTTGATCCAACCTATCCAGTCCAATCTGAAACATTAAAATAATCTCTCAAGAACACAATAAAATGCACAATTAAATGTTGACATGCCTCTAGATATAACTTTGCAATAACTCAGGGATGTCTAAGTGGTGTTCTCAACTAGGCTGGAATTACATTACAGACACATAATGGAATTTCAGTCCTTTCCCCCTCAGCTTTTACACAGCATCTCACTCCCAAACCTACCCTCACCTTCACACTCAAACACTTACCTGTACACCAGTTAATACAATTATATCCAACTCTGGAACATAGGCTGTTTCTGAATCTCTTCCATCATTTGTGTGAATCAGAATCTTATAATGGGGAGTATACTTCATAATCTATAAATGAAGATATAGTGATAAGTGTTTATATGTGTATGTATGCAAATGAAAATAAAGCACTCTCTACTTGCAAAATTAAAAATATTGTAGCAGAACGTTACCAGAATTTGTTCACATGGTCCTTATTGGCGAGTTCCAAAGTGATACAGAGAAACCAAAATAAAGATTGTTCCTTTAACTACTATTTTCACCCACCAGTAAAACAAACAAATGAAAAGTCAGGGCTACTTGTCCGGGATTAATTTCCTTCCCCTGAAAAATATTCCTAGACTATGACATAATACATTGTCAGAATTGTATTTTCCATCTGTTTTTAACATCATGGGTTGCATTGTAATAGGAGGGATTGGTCTCTGCACCTCAGACATAGAGGTCAGTGACAAATGATGGCCACTGAATCATTTTTCAGCTTGAGCGAGGCCTTTTGCTCGTGCTCAAGAGGGAGGCCCACCTCTGGGAGCTGCCAGACAACAAGAGGCTGACACCTCCCAGCAGTGCCACAGGGAGTAGTGGTCATTGCTGGAACTGCTGGCAGCCTCAAAGAAGAGACGCTGATGGGAGTCTGAACTTAAAAGTTAGCCTGGCTTTACATGGTATGAATTGTGTGTGGGGTGGCCGTGGGGTTGGAAGAGAATGCTTGGTACCAAGCTGCTCCACACATGTACAATCCAAACGTGGTGAAAAATTGTCTGTGTCTGAGCAATGTTACTCAACTAGCTCACAGCTGAATGGGTCACCTCTCCTGCTCCTCATATAAACACAGTGGGGACAGACTGGGTAGGGTATGCAGCAGGTACAGCACCATGACCACGGCACCAACCTTTTCCACAGCTACTTCTTCACCTCTGGAAAACAATATTTCAGCCTATGAGCGTAACTGACATCAATAATTCGCTAAATCAAACTCAACTTTAAGGAGATCATTCAGTGACTTTTACACGTAAACTAAAAAGGTTCCTTTTTTAAACTTTCTTGGACGGCTTTTTGCTGTTAACTTGCATTTTCTTAGCAATGAAAAATAAACAGAATATCAACAGATCTCTCAAAAGTTGCTCAGCACATTGAACAAAGTTTTTCCTTTTTGTGCACTACTCTCTAACCTCCATGTCGGAAGGATATCTTTGGTTAAGCCATTCTTCCGGAGCTCTTGCTTTCTCATCCCAGCCAACAATCACACCGATATACCCATCCTGCCTGTGTCTGAAGACTTGTCCTACTCTGTATTTGACAGACAGTGGCCTGGGAGAGCGAGGCTCAGGTGAGTCTGGGAAAACAAGAAGAAAATAGCATTTTTAACAAAGGTGCAGTGAGATTTAATTTGGAGCCTTTTAAGAATGCTCATAGTAAGAATATCATTCATAAAAAGGATTCCATTTCAAATTGTTGTTTTAAAATTCTTCTATCGCAATTGTGACATATAAGTTTTGGAGATTAGGTGAGGGTGGCGAGAAACAGGACAGCATGACATAGCAGATCACCAGGCAGAAATAGCTGCAGCAGGTAGCGCATTCATGTGGAACTTCCTATCAATTTGAGATGGGTTTGATTCCTTAAATATTATGAAAACTCACTGTTACTCAGTTCCCTAACATCTAAATTGTCTCGTTAATAAAATTGATATTTTTATCCAAATATGGCACACATTTCTTGTTTAAAAGTGAAAACTATTGTATTCAGATAAAACAGTTTTCCTGAAATACTACAAAGCTGATCATAAAGCAACACTGAGATAGCACAGCCCCAAACTAAACAGCAAACAGGGTTCTTACAATGTCTAGATCTTACAGTGATCACCACCCTACACTCAAGCTTCTGAGAGAATACAGAGAAGGGCAACACAACTGATAGTATGTATCAGCATGGAGAATCTAAGAAAATTTGGAAAATAAAGTTTAGTATAGGACAATTTGTTTATGTAACCAGTTATCATAGGCGCAAAATTACAATCACAACAGTGAACAGTTTTATTTCTTTCAAACCAAGTGATAAATAGATGGAGAACACAAACAAACAAACAGTGTTAGTAAATTCAAGAGGGGCTGCATTTTTGTTTTGGTAGAAAAAGTGATTAAGTTGTGCAACAGATTGTAATAAATTATGTATGTTTGGTACTCTGAGAGGTCTCTACTGTTCCCAAGTTACCTGCAAAGTATCCATCATTCTCATTCAATAGAAATACCTCCATAGCTGGGGACTCTCCAGGAGGATCTTCATGCTGGGTAGATCTGTAGAATACCAAAGTAAAGGCGTTTCAACAAAATTAACAAAACCATATTCTTATAACTGTACAAACTTCAGAGGTGGCACAGTGGCTCACTGGTTAGCACTACTGCCTCGCAGTGCCAGACACCTGGGTTTGATTTCACCCTCTGGTGACTGTGTGAAATTTGTACATTCTCCCCGTGTCTGTGTGAGTTTCCTCCCAGTGCTCCTGTTTCTTCCCATAGTCCAAAGATGAACCGGTTAGGTGGACTAGCCATGCTAAATTGCTTGTAGTATCCAGGGATGTGCAGGCTAGATGGATTAACCATGGGAAATGCAGGGTTATAGGTGGGTCTGGATAGGATGCTCTTTGGAGGGTCACGTGGAATCGATGGGCCAAATGGCCTGCTTCCACACTGTAGGGATTCTATGTGCATAAACAAGTAAAAATTAATTTTCACTAACTCATAAGGAGGAAGTAAAAAGACCCAAGAGCAATGACACCCCTGCCCCCACCAACTTTCTTTGAATGTTCATTCTTTTCTCTTGAGAGGCATTTCACTTTGTATCAAGAGTAATTTCTCTTTAGTTGGAGATTGCAGGTGAGTTAATTTTACGAGTAAAATTAGAAGATGAATCTGGCAAGCAATATATAATTGATAAACATTATGCAAATAGCTTTGTAATAATATGTGGTTAAAATTGCTTGTCCTCTTGAACAGTAAACCAGCTGCAATGTACTATATGACCACCGAAAACATGTTTCATATTCTATACAAACCAGCAAAAGCAAAATACTGCAGATGCTGGAAATCTGAAATAAAATCAGAACCTGAGCAAGTATCTTCAGACTCAAAACATTAACTCTATGTGTAATCTTATAGAGGTCTGAATGACGTGGGCTAAGCAAGATTTATGGCAGAAGCAGACATGAAGTCGGGAAAGGTCTATCTAGACGTCAGGAGCAACACGCTGCATTTCTTACGCATTTGCCAAGTTGTGTGATAAATTTCACTCTAGGCAATGGTGAGTTGCCAATTAAGGGAGATCATAGCTGATTGAACATGATTCACCAGATTAATATTCATCTTCTCAATTTAACAAATGTGTCAATAAGCTAGACATTGAGAATTCTCAACATGGAAGTCAAAGCCAGTAGCTGGCAACTTCAGCTTCCATTTGCTCCAAAGGATCTCCATGTCAATATCGGGCCCCAACATCTCAGGGAGTAGCCATACACAACCGACATCGGTGACTGACACATGGCAGTCTCCAAGAACTCTCATGGCACATCTCTGATGTACATCTCTTACAGGATGCTTCTGCAATTCAGTGCTGCATTGGCAACTATCAGTGTAATGCTGCTGCTCCCTCACTCTGTTTGGGTGCTCACAACATCTCTGTTTTGCTGTGCTTTTTTGATCTTTGCTCCCTTAGCCAGAGATCCCAGGGCTCAAAGTAATTCTGCTGTGTTTTGCCAGGATGCAAGTCGTGGTTGTTAACAATCCTCAGTCAACAGGGATGACCTTCGCTCAGGGGGTTCCAGCACAGTAAGTCAAGGGCAGTCTCCGATACCAATACAGAAACAGGTAGGGCGAGGGGAGGTAACCCGAGCAAATGAGTAGACTCAGCAGAGGACATGAAGGAATCATAGAATCCCTACAGTGTGGAAACAATCCATTCGGCCCAACAAGCCCACACCGCCCCTCCGAACAGCATCCCACCCAGACCCATTCCACTACTCCTGATTTCCCCATGTCTAACCCACCTAACCTAAATATTCCTGGGAATTATGGGCAATTTAGCATGGCCAATCCACCTACCCTGCACACCTTTGGACTGTGGGAGGAAACCAGAGCACCAGGAGGAAACCCACGCAGACACGGGAAGAATGTGCAAATCCCACACAGACAGTCGCCCGAGGCTGGAATTGAACCTGGGTCCCTGGCGCGGAGAGGCAGCAGTGCTAACCACTGAGCCACTGTGCCAGTGATGTTAGGGAAAGAGAGAAATTTAATGGAGATGTTGCAGGCAAAAGTGAAAGTGGTACAGCATTAATCTTGTTAGGAGGTGAGTACAATAATGGAGATAGTGTGAATATGAGGCAAAGACAAGATGTGGAGTGGAGGTGAACTTTGGCCTTTGTTGTGCCCTGGCTGTCAACCTCAGATTAGGCTGGTGTTGTGGCCTCCACTGCTGGTCCTGAGACAAAGTGAAGTCCTACCTCTGCACCATCCTGTCCGGTAGGACTTCCACATTCCTGTCAACAAAGTGGAGCACCAATTTACGCCCGTCTGCAAGCTCCAATGCAAATGTCTGTGGCTGTGTAGGACAGCACCGGAATGACAGTGCTTTTCTGGATGTACAGCAAGCTTTTAAAGGTATTGTGGGCACATGGGATGCCGGTCTTTTGGCCAAAATCCATAACTGGTGAATTGTTCTAGGAATGGCATGTGGTAATGTGGGGTCAGAATTAGATGAGTGGGTTGCCTTGGGGCAGGGTAGGTAGTTAATGAGGCAGGTTTAGCAAGATACAGTGAGATATGTTGCTAGGCCTTATGGCGAGTGTCCCTCCTAGAAACTTGAAGCAACTCACACTTAGCCAAAACAAAACAGAATTCAGACCGTTTCCCTCTCCACAGTTGTTGCCAGACCAGCTGAGTTTCTCCAGTTTTTTGTTTTGACTTCTATAAGATCCAGCTTCTCTAAAATATTTATGCAGTTCCACAGCAAGGTGTATATCAGCCCTTCCTCAATGAACTACACTGTTATTAAACTTAAACATCCTTGTTCCTTACCTTTACGTTCGATGCTCCCTCTGTGAACCAGTTTTAAAACAGTAAATGGAGCAACTGAGTAACCACAGGGATAATAACCAGAATGACTCAGATTTATTTCCACTTGTAACATTAACAGCATTCCTAGAAGCTTCAAATAAGGTCAAGGAAAACAGATCATGGCCCCAGAAACAGAAGAGTTAGAAGAGGGAGGATGTGTCAACAAGGTGATGTTTTAAAGGAAAGAAAAAGATTTGAAGGATGGAATTGCAGGATAGAATCCAAGTTGTTGAACAGTATGCCCAAAAGGAGGAATAATCTGGAGCTGTTAGGGATACACTGAAATCCAGACACATATATATGGAGTCTAGGGATGGGCTGGAGTTGTGCTGGAGACCAGTGAAACAATTCAGTCTGAAAGTAATAAGGATATGTAAATAGCTGCATGGTAGAAGTAGGAAATAGTGTGGAAATAGAAGTAAGCAGCCTAGGTGTATTCAAATTGCAATCAATTCTGGAGCAAATCTACTTGCAGGGAAACAGCACAAAGATACATTTGAGTCCTTCAAACCTTTGATCATACTGTTCTGAATTTCTGCTGGGTCAGCAAGTTAGTCTCTCAAATAACCGGGATTATTTGGCTCAAATCTGGCAGAATGCCAAGACTGCCAAGTAATAGCAACCAAATGCAAGGAGGGACAGAGTCTTTGCAAAGACTGAAGGTGATAGTTTTGATTTTCCCACATTTGACCTTGAAGACATTCTGACTTAATCAAAGGTGGATGTCAGATAAACACTCAGGAAGTCAAGGGAGGTGGTGAAGTGGTATAGCACTCATACTAATGTTGGCTCCATGCAGTTTATCACACCAAGATACAATACGCAAACAAACAGACTCCATAAGTAAGGTTAAGGATATATTATAACATAAACATCCCCCTTATGGCTCTGGATTATCAGCAGATATTGTCAATAATAATGCTTAAGTGCTAAAGCTGGTTGGATTATGCAACATCCTACCTTTCTTTTAAACTCCATTCTTTTAGCCAGTCCTTCCATGCTTGTACATTTAAATAAGAGTTTTTGAATCGGTTCCAGCTATTGATTAACCTGTTGAGAATGGAATTGGAATTATTCAATATATTAGGGTGTGGGAGAAAGAGAAAGGGAAACAGCGACAAAATTATGAAATCAGAAAAAATTGGAACAGAGTGGTCCGTTTGGCTCTTTGAGTCTACTCCACCATTCAGTAAGATCATGGATGATCTGACTGGGGCCACATTCATGCAGCCACATCATATCCTCCAACTCCCTTGCAAATAAAAAAAGTGATCAGGTCTCAATATACGAAACTCACTTAATCTTGTAAAGATAAGGCATGCTCAGAAATAACTTCCCATGTATTGTGTAATCATTGATTTTTAGAAATCATTAGGCTCCTTTGTAACATAATGCATCAAATCTCACCAATGCCATGAAGGACCAGGGTCAAATGAGAACTGCACATCATCACAATGGAAGAAAATTATTCCAGGCCACTTACCATAGCTGCAAGTTAGCATTCCAGAGCCGTTAACTAAAAAATGGTGCTGACGTAAATAGAACAATAAGAATTCCAAAAAGCAAGCCAAGATAGTAAATTGCATAAATCTATGGGACAACATTAATACAGTTATCTCACAGAATGGTTACACTTCAGGAGGACGACATTTGGTCCATTATGTCCACATCTCATTTATAGTCAGACAAAATTATGAAATTCATTAATAAGCCACTTGGCAGCCCAAACCTAGTTGATATCCAAATCTTACTACATTTGGGCATTGACTGCTTCAGTATCCGAGGAGTTGTTAATGATGCTGAATTTTATGCAATCATCAGCAAATATCCCACTTTTGACATCATGATGGAGGGATGATTGTTGATGAAGCAGCTGAAGATAGTTCGCCTAGGACCCTACCCTGAGCAACTCCTGCAGAGATGTCCTGGAGTTGAGATGTCTGACTCCAGATTGGTAGGGCCCCTGTATGCCGCACTCAAATCAAATTCAGCCTTGATGTCAAAGGCAGTCATCTTCCCTCTGGAGCTCAGCCCTTTGACTGTATTTGAACCAAGGCAGTAATGAGGTCAGGAGCTGAGTGGCAATTGCAGACTCCAAACTAGACAGTTCTGCTGGATAGCTTTGTCGATAATCTCTACCATCATTTTACTGATGATTTAGAGTTGACTGAAAGGGGTGGCAATTGGCTGGGTTCGTTTTGTCTTGCTTTTAAGTGTACAGGATATGCCTGGGCAATTTTCCACCCTGTTGGGTAGATGCCACATTATAGCTGTACTGGAACAGTTTGGTAAAGGAGCATTGCAAGTTTTGAAGCAAGAGTCTTCAGTACCATTGCAGGAATACTGTTGAGATCCACAGTCTTTGCAGCATCCAGCACATTCACTTATTTCTTGATATCGCATTAAGTTAATCAAATTGGCTGAAAACTGGCTATTGCGCGGCTTGGGACCTCTGGAGGAGGCTGAGATTGATCACCTCCTTGGCACTCCTGGCTGGAGATTGTTGCAGATGCTTCCTCCTTGTTGTATGCACTGATGTGCTGGGCATCCTCACCATTGAGGATGGGCAGATTTGTGCAGCCTCAGCCTCCTCCAGTGAGTTATCATAGAATCACAGAATCCCCACAGTGTGGAAAGCAGGTCATTTGGTCCATTGAGCACACACCAACCTTCCAAAGAACATCCCACCCAGAACCACTTGCCCTACTCTATCTCTGTAACCCTGCATATCCCATGGTTGATCCACCAAACCTGCACATCTCTGGATACTATGGGCAATTTAGCATGGCCAAACCACATGTTGTGCATTGCCATTCATGAATGGAAAGCGCTTAGACCTGATTCATTGCTTGTAAAATTGCTTAGTCCTGTCTATCAATTGCTGCTTATGCTCTTTGGCACGCATGTGGTTCTGCGTTGTAACTTCATTCGGTTGACACCACTTTTTGTGAAGCCTGGTGCTGTTCCTTGCATGACCTCCTGCACTCCTCACTGAATCAGGGCTGGTCCCTGGCTTGATGGTATTCAACATAGAGGTGAGGGGGGTGGGGGGTAGTGGGGGGTGAAGAGTACATGGTAAAAGTTTTTTGATCTTGGGGTCTGGAGTCAACGTTAAGATTTCCCGGGAAAACTTATTCCCATTTATATACCACTATGCTGCCACCTCTGCTAGGTCTATCCTGCTGGTGGGACAGGGTACACGTAAAGATAGTGATAGTGGTGTCTGGGACATTGTCTGGAAGGTATGATTCCGTGACTATGAATATGTCAGGCTGTTGTTTGACTAGTCTGTGAGACTGGCTCTGCCAATTTTGGCACTAGCTCCCAGTTGTTAGTAAGGAAGACTTTACAGGTTGAGTTTTGCTGTCATAAATTTCAGGGACCTAGGTTGATGCCGAGTCTCTCTGGTCCGGTTTCATTTCATTTTTGAGGGCATTTAGAAGGTGACCACATTGTTGTGGTTCTGGAATCACATATGGGCCAGATCAGGTAAGGATAGCAGTTTTCCTTCTCTGAACGATAATAGCAAACCAGATGATTTTATATGACACTCGACAATGATTTCATGGCCATCATTAGTTAATTAGAAAAGACGGACACAAGCAAGTCAGAGAAAGAGGTAACTCTGAAGAATTAAATTGTGTTTATTTCAATGCAAGGGGTCTCACAAGTAAGGCTGATGAACTCAAGTGTTCCAGTTTTAGATGTTAAAGGAAGGATCGAAAGGGAGGTATGAGAGGAGCGGGTGTGGTGTTTTTGATTCAGGATAACATTACTAGTGTAATTAGTCAGGATATTTCAGAGGGATCATCCAGTGAAAATATATGGGTTGAAATTATAAATAAGAAAGAATTATCACTTTGATAGGATTGTACTATAAAGTCAGAGGAAATTGAGGTGCAAATATGTAGAGAGATCTCAGCTTATATAAGAATAATAGGGTTGTAATTGTAGGAGATTTTAACTTTCCAAACATTGAGTGGGACTGACATAGTGTTAAAGGTTTGGATGGTGAGAAATTTATTAAATGTGTCCAAGAAAACTTTCCTTATCAACCTGTAAATGTTCCAACTAGAGAAGGAGCAAAACACGACCTTCTCTTGGGAAATAAGGCAGGGCAAGTGACTGAAGTGTTAGTGGGGGAACACTTTGGGACTAGTGATCATAATTCTATTAGTTTTAAAAGTTATTGAAAAGGATTAAGCCTTCCATAAAAATTAAAGTCCTTAATTTGAGTAAGGCAAATTTTAATGGCATGAGACAAGAACTTTCAAAAGTTGATTGGAGTAGACTGTTCGCAGGTAAAGCGTTGAGTCACAAGTGGAAGGTTTTCAAAAGTGCAATAAGGAGAGTTCAAAGGCAATATGTTCCTGCTAGAGTGAAAGGTAAGGCTGGTAAGATTAGGGAACAATGGACGAATAAAGATATTGAGGTTAAGAATAATAAAACAAGAAAAATAAGCAAGAGTAATAAAAGAATTATGTATTAGATACAGAATCTCTTGAAGGATATAAAGAGTGTAGGGCATTCTTAATAGGGAAATCAGGAAGGCAAAGTGGGGATATGAGACAGTCTTGGCAGATAAGGTTAAGGATAATCCAAAGAAATTCCAAACTACATTAAGAGCAAGGGAGCAACTAGAGAGAGAGTAGGGCTCCTTAAACATCAAAGAGGTTGTATTTGTGTTGAGCCTCAGGAGATGGGAGCGATATTCAATTAATATTTCATGTCACTTTTTTTACTGGGGACAAAGAAATGGAGACCAGAGAAATCAGGGAAATAAATATCTATGTTTTGGAAATAGTTCACATTACAAAAGAGGAAGTGCTGGAGGTCTTAGAAGACATAAGAGTGGATAAATCTCCAGAACCTGATCTTGTGTGCAAAGTTAGGGATGAAATTATGGGGGCCCCTAGAAGGAATATTTGTATCATCTATAATCACGGTTGAGCTGCCAGAGGACTGGAGTGTGGCCAATAGTGTCCCATTATTTAAGAAAGGCTGTAAGGAGAAGCCGGAGAACTATAGACCTGCGAGTCTGACATCAGTGGTGGGTGAGTTGTTAGAGGGAAAGGTTAAGTCCATTCAAGGTCAAAGCAGTGAGTTTATGTGTGGAGCCAGAGGAACTGGGTGAGGTCTTTAATGAGTGCTTTGCATTGGTATTCATCAAGGAGAAGGATGTAGCTGATGGTAAGATGAGGGAGGGGTACGTTGATATTCCAGGGCATGCCAATATTAAGAAGGAGATGGTGTTGGATGTCTTGAAAAACATTGAGATAGATAGGTTCCCAGTGCTTGATGAGATCTATCCCAGGATACTGAGAGAGGTAAGTGAGGAGTTTGCCGGGGCCTTGGCACAAATCTTTAGCCAGAAATATAGTCCCAGAAGATTGGAGATTCCCTACATCAGTGGTAGGGAAAGTAATAGAGAAGATTCTTAGGGATAGGATTTACTTGCATTTGGAAAAGAATGGACTTATTAGGGATTGTCAGCATGGCTTTCATGCCAGGGAGGTCTGTGAGAGAGCAGGGAAATTAGCCATTGGAAGTTCCACAGGATCCTGATGACATTCCCTGTCTTTGATCAGTATGTAAAAATCCAGAGACAAGAAGATTTGAGCTAAAATGTACTAAATGAAATCATTTTAAAGGGCTGCAGATACAGAGACCATGGGTGTATGCATTCTTAATAGAGGAATTACATACAAAAGCTAGGAATTTATTTTTGAAACTTATAAAACACTCATTAGGCCACAGCTGATGTATTGGTTGGGATTTTTCCCCGAGAGTAACAGCTTTCAACATTCACTTTGTGTTGAACTGCCGACAGATTTTTCTCCTGCCTGTCGGTGGAGACTGCCACCTACCCAGTGGCCTCTGCAGGAGATCTGTGAAGAGGGCAAGCAACAATGAGGGTCTTTACCAAATTAGGCTGAAGAATCCTCAGAGATACCCAAAGGCCAAGCCATGAAAGATAAAGAAATATGAATTATGTCTAAACAATACATAGTAAAGCAAAACAAAGACTGGAACTAAAGGACTAAAGGGCA